TTCACAGTGAATGCAGTGAACTCCGTTATTGAATGTGCTGTGAGTTTAGCGCGTTTGGGAACGCAACGGCCACCAGTTATGCATAATTTGCACATTTGCATAATTTTCAACATTTTAATGGGCAAATGTTTACAGTATTTCATTAAATTAGTAATGTTTGTAAACCTGTTTTCACAGAAGCTGGAGTTTTCCGCCAAAATAAAAGCTCAAGGGTTCATCTCTTGCAAGCATGGCCTAAAATTAACAGACGCGCACAGAGAAAATACTGAACAGGTACAGCAAGCTCACTGTTCGGAAGAAAAATATAAATATTGGGGTGGGCTTATATATGAATGCATTTCTGAAGGGAACTGACTTCACAAAAGTTTCGATGGCATTTTTCCCTCTTATCACTGCTGATCCGTAAGCGCCACCTGCTGTCAGAGAGTGCATTTGCGTTCTCATTCAGCCCGTCTGCCTGTTTTTGTTTCATGCAGGTTTTATCTTTGTATCATGATTAGAATGCAGTGGTTGGTTCTAATTAAAAATTGCTTTTTTTGTTGTTGTTTTGCGAGATTTAATGTTAAATATTTTGTATAGGTTAATAATCAAGGTCTGCACTCAGTTTGTGATATTCCTGTTATACAGTATTTTAGAGTAAAAAGTAATCAGATCAAGAGGGAAATTATTTTAAATATGTGTCTGATGTTGTGCAGTAAAAGCATGCTATAATGTTCTTTTTTGTTGTTGGACAAAAGGTGGAGTCATTACAAGGGAAGATGCTCGGCGTGTGCTGCTTCTTCAGATGCAGGTGTTTCCTCATCTCAGCGCACGACTCACGGACACACAAACAGAGCCGGCTTGGAGAGAAATAAAACGCACGGAAATTTTAAAGCAAAACCTAAAAAACGCTCTGATTGGTTGAACTCGTCATCTTTTTCTGTTGCTTGTTTTGAATACTGCACGTGGACAGAGGCGTCACCAGGTTTTTTGCATAGTTTGGAGTGACAAATCGTACTAGCGTACTTTGATCAAAATGCATACAGGTTGGCAGGTCTGAACATGTTTAGTTGTTGTAGTAGTAGCAACTGCCCGTTTTTTTGCAAAAGCAGTTTCATGGCAAGGAAAAATATTTAAAGGTGCCATAGAATGCAATGATACAATATTTTAAACTATTCTGATATCTACATACAAGGCATGTGGCTTAGATAAGGGCAAAACATCTCCAGAAACGGTTTTACATGTCCATTTACAACCCTAGGATTTGTCTCTAGAATGAAATGCTCTGTTTTTACCTTATTTGGACGGGTCATGAATAATAATGTTGAGCTCTCATTTTTTTTGTGGCTAATAAAATACAAATATTAGACAAAAAAGTATTTTAATTAATTGCAAAGGCAACATTTCTGTTAACTGTTAAAATAACAAACAAATGAAACCTAAATAATAATATATACATTAATAAATAAATCACAAAAGCACAAAACAAATTTACTAGAAATTTAAATAAAATGGAAACAAAAAGTAAAATAATAATAATAAAAGCAAATTCAAATATGATTAAAACCTATAATAGTATATGAAACATTACTCTAATAACACTGGTTCATACCTGCTTAACAGCTTTTGGCGTCTCCTGGACTTCTGTAAAATTGAATTGAGAGACAGATAATGCATGATTTGGTTGGTTAAACAACACACGTCATCTTGCACATGAAGGAATCTGAGACGCTCGCACCTTTCTTGAGCAGTTTGGCCAGACCTGAGTCCGGTGTTTCTGGAGACGTCGCAGAGCTGCCTCCTTCATCGATGAGCTGGATCTGAAGAAAGAAACCAAGAGATGCATGACTAGGTCTGTCTGTGTGGATTCACACTCTTGCCTCCTGTGAGAAACCAGACTGCTTCCCTGTGAGGATGTTCACAGGCCGTGATGCCAGGATAGTTATATCCGCACACGCTGGCTTCAGCACAGGTTTGGGTGGCAAAGGCAAAGCTGAGTGATGATTCCAGAAGATCTGCAATATACTGCACGAGTCATTTGGGCATGAGTTGTTTTGTTCGGGACTTTATGGACGCTGTCACTGTGGTGAGACACTACAGGCAAAACCACTTTTTCATGCACTGGTCAGTTTAGAAATGTAGGTGTATTTTGCTGGATTTTCTGATTTATGGAGTGATAAAAAGAGTAATCCAGAATCCCCTTTGGAAAAACCTTTAACTCTAATATGACTACAAAATGACAAGAACTTTGAACATGGCTTTATCTGGTCATAAGCAGCACAGGTATATTTGTAGCAATAGCCAACAATACATTGTATGGGTCACAATTATACATTTCTCTTTTATGCCAAAAATCATTAGGATATTAAGTAAAGATCATGTTCCTTGAAGATATTTAGTAAGTTTCCTACCGTAAATATATCAAAACTTAATGTTTGATTAGTAATATGCATTGCTAAGAACTTCATTTGGACAACTTTAAAGATGATTTTCTCAATATTTAGATTTTTTTGCACCCTCAGATTCCAGATTTACAAATATTGTGCGATCCTAACAAACCATACATCAATAGAAAGCTTATTTATTCCGCTTTCAGATGATGCACAAATCTCAATTTCAAAAAAATGGACCCTTATGACTGGTTTTGTGGTTCGGGGTCACATATATGCAAATTAATGCATGTGTAATTAGATGATGCATAATTTGCATATTTAAAAAACGTAGAAACTTTAGAAAACTTGTAGTAGAAAACAATTGTCAATGTACTGTGATTATTAAACTGGGGAAGTATGATTACGTTGTACAGAAACAGAGTAGTGATCGACCGATATTGATATTTTATAACCGATACCGATACCAATTATTTACATGTTTATGTGCCCGATAACCGATATTCAGAACCGATATTTATTTACTGTTATAAAGTAAATAAATGACTGAGTAAGTCCATAATTCACTTTGGTTTTTCCTCCTTTCAGTCATCTTAAAAAAAAGTGTTGAAAATTAGCAGTCTTTCATGTTAAATTTAATCTTCACATTACAACAATAAAAACACATTTTATATAAAGCATCAGCAGCAACACTAATATTAACAATAAGCAAAATAAATGTAGAAGGTCTAATGTTTTCAAATGGAGAAAATAAATAAAGGAAAGGAGTCATATCAACTATAGTTTAAGTAGGTTTATAAGCTGTGTAATAGGCTAAAGAGTGAAGAATAATTCACTGGATAATGTTAATTCACTGAATAATATTCTCTGGAATATTGAAATATAACAAACAAAACATCGTATTTTACTGCATTTCTCAACTGGCATGTTATATCAGAAATGCTAATAATGATTCTGTCGTTCTAGACTATGAAATGCGTGCTGACAGCGCGGTTTATCTGTGCATTTACACAGAACTATACTCAAACTGCGATCGCTCGTGAAGATAATAAATAATTCATTTCCATAGAGTTGTATCTATTTAGATGTTTATTAGCGAAATAATGGTTATACAGTAAATATTAATACAATTTAGGGTGTTTTAAACAAGTGAATCTTGTAAAAAGTTACATGCGGAGGCCGTGCTGGAGCATTCCCTGAGCATCAACCGCATCAACCCGGTGAGTGAACAGTGATATGAAAGCGGCTTCACGAGACTAATGATGAGCACAGACAACAGAGAGAGAAGTAAATGTAGCGCTTTTATTTCCAACACGCGCTCATTCATGGCTGTATTATTTAATTAATGCAAAGTTACGTCTTTATTGGGAGAGGACTTGACGGATTATCTTAGCCTACGTGACTCCGACTTCACGAGACGATGAGCATATAGACAACAGAGAGAGAAGTAAATTCAGCACTTTTATTTCCAACATATATCTTATATCTTGGCTGCATATTATTTAATTCATGCAAAGTTACGTCTTTATTGGGACAGGACTTGACGGATTAT